CAGATAAGTAAATATAAAATGGTCTAAAAAAACTATCCAAAAGAAAAAGTTATAAAAACCAGACTACAAGCCAGGCGGTGGTGGCGCACGCCTTTAATCCCAGCACTCGGGAGGCAGAGGCAGGAGGACCTCTGTGAGTTCGAGGCTAGGCTGGACCAAAATAATACAGAGAACCCCTGTCTCATAAAAACCAAAACAAAAAAACAAAAAACAAAACAAACAAACAAACAAAAAAACCACCCAGACTACAGGCTGGAGAGACAGCTCAAAGGTTAAGAACACCGGCCGTTCTTCCAGAGGTCCTGAGTTCAATTCCCAGCAACCACACGGTGGCTCACAACCCTCTGTAGTGAGACCTGGTGCCCTCTTCTGGCCTGCAGGCATGTAGGCAAACACTGTATACATAATACACAAATAAATCTTTAAAAAAAACCAAAAAACGAAACAGACTACTAGCCTTCACTATTGATAAGTTCATGTCTTCTAAGATGAAACATGTTATTCTATTTTCTTTCATATTTGTCATGTCAGTCATCACTCAATACCGTTACTTCCCTACTCTTCAACTCAGGCCATCATGGGAAATGAAAACTCAAAATCTCTTTACTATTCTAACATCCAGTCCCTCTATTAAGATGATTGACGTCTTTAATCCCAGCACTCGGGAGGCAGAGGCAGGTGAATCTCTGAGTTCAAGGCAGCCTGGTCTACAGAGGGAGTTCCAGGACAGTCCCGGAAGCCACAGAGAAACACTGTCTGGAGGTGGAAGGGGGGGATGATTTCTAGGTGGGAGCATTTGCTTAATGAATTGCTGCTTGTCATCGAAGGACACTTCATCTAATCTCTCTCCCAGTGCAATAAATGAATAAACAAATCTACTCCAAAGTCTCAAGCACCAGATGCATAATCCTAGTATCAAACCATTTCCAAATAAATGCTGTCAGAGCCTTAAAAAACAAATATGTTTATGCTGCATTTATTCTCAGGGTACATAATAACCCTACTTCTAATATTATGTAAATGGCTTCTCACAAAGATGATTTCACAGATTTATGATCCCATATGTTTCTTTCACTTACAAGAAAAAAATATGCACTAGTTACTTGTAATGTTTCATCCCTATACACATACTTATTTCCTTTAAAATAATAAACATTTGGCCCAAATTAGTTCTTAATTTTAAAAAAATGTGTTTCTGTGAATATAAAAGGCCAAACTTCTATTGGTACAGTTGTAGGAATTTCAGCTTCTTTGGAAAGTCTGCCTTTCTGTAAATTCAGAATTTTTTATTTAGATTCATATTTACAACTAATTTATATTTTAGTAGTTAGACACGTCTAATAAATGTACCATCATCAGTTTTTATACTAATATCATGTGTACATGTGATTTTATACTTTTTTGAGACAAGGTTTCTTTTTCTTGCCCTGGCTGTCCTCCAATTCAGAGATCCACCTGCCTCTGCCTCCCAGTGCTGGGATTAAAGGCATGCGCCAACACTGCACGGCTTGATTTTATACTTTGACTACCTACTCCTTGGTAGGAATGCATTTCCAAAGTCTTAGGATTTAAGACTGTATCTTGCTTGTGATTTACTCATTAATTGTAAAGTTGGAGGAGCAAAATTACCTCTATGATGCAATCTGCTTCTTTGGACTTCCTTTTTTAAAAAAATCTATTGCATCATGGAGACCCCTTTTTAAGAGTTATGTTACAGAAAGGTCTCCTTGGTCTCCCTGTACATAAGTTTAAAAATATGAAAGCTCTGTAGGTTTTACCTCAAGACAAGAGGACAGTATTGTTCCTTGTATATATTTAAATAAATCCTCTCACTTAAGCTTCAAGTTAAAAAAGAGAAGTCCATTAAATAAATATATATATATATATATATATATATATATATATATGAACAAACTTGCATATATAGCACATACCAAAACACGCCAGTTAGCATTGCTGGTCATTAGTAAATTATTCAAATTAAATAAGACACAGAGATATATGCCACTAAGAGAAACTTACAATAATCAGGTTTTCAACTGTCAGACAGTTGACAGTTCACAATTATAGCCATTCAGTAGTTCCTGGAATGCTACCTTCAGAGTTCACACTGGTCAGTTATTTACTGAAAACAATCTGCCCTGTGCTCCATGTAGGTCAGTAATAGTTTACATCTCCTCTCATTTACAAGAAAGGAGTCTGTTAAATGTACAGGCAGTTTAAGTAAATTTTGTAATGTTCACTGAAAAAGTGGTTATACAATTCTTTAATCAACCTTCATTATAACCACCAGCTTATACAAATCCAATCTGAGAAGTCTTTTATTTTTATGTTTATTGTTTTTTTTTGTTGTTGTTGTTTGTTTGTCTGTGTGCATGTCTATATGAAGGTGTGAGTCACCATGTGGGCGCTGGGAACTGAACCCAGGTCCTCAGGAAGAAGTCAGTGCTCTTAACCACTACTGAGCCATCTTTGCAGCCCATGAGAAGTCTTAACATAGTCCTAATTTTTTTCTAATCAAAATGGCTGGGAAAAAAAAATCTCACAACGTGACACTAACAGTTAATGTGGGGTCAGCAGGCAGATAATTGAGAACCCTTTTCATCAGCCCTTTTAAATGTGTCATAGTAGTTGTTTAATACAGATGATCTCAAAATTGATTCAATATAGGCCCTTATATGGAACCCAAACCATGACAGGGCTTCAAATACCTGAATCTAAAACCCTTTTGTTAACTTCCTATTTCCCTTTGTTTAAAAACAAAAGAAAATCCTGTTTATTACATTTGAAGTTTAAATAAAAAATGACTATCTACAAGTATTTCTTTAGGATCTAAATGTATTAACCTATTCACAAAGTTTAAGACATAATTCCTCAAGGCATCTCCAACTTATATTAGATTTGAAGGGTTACAAGTAATATTGCAAATTTTCAGAAAGTAACCTCAAATTACATGTAAAAGTAGTATTTCTTTCTAGTTAGTACTATTCTTTAAAAGGTATTCAGCTGGTTAACTTAAACATGTTCCTGGAAAACCATTAGTCTCAAGTGCAAAACTTTAGAATGCCCTCTTTTGCAAAGACATTCCTTACACAAACAAAACAAAACCCTATATCTAATTAATGGATTCAATCCTTCACCAGGTGTGTTGGGCCAGTGACAAACCATCAAATGTGTAAGATTACATTTTGGAAACCAGTGTGTTAAAATCAATGGTAAGACTGATAACATACAATGCAGAATTTAAGACTGGGGTAAAGGAAAGAAGTGGCACATTTAAAATGGGACTATCCACAATCAAACTCTTGAAAGGACCAACTGAAGCAGCTAACAACAGTGTATAGCACCATCTGCAGCTAAAACATTCATCATATTTGTTCATACCATTTCTGAGATTACTTTTACTACAGAAAGGTAAAATATATGCATCTGTAGCACATGTTCAAAAGGAAGATGTTTCAGTTTCCATTTGTCAACAGATTTCTGCTTCAATAATATATTATCCTTTTAGTTTCTAAGGAATATAAACTGCAAAGTGTGTAAAGAGAAAAGAAGATGTATTCTTCATTTGTAGGGTTTATGGGTGAATAGGAGGCTGGGTAAAAAGTCATTTATCGAAGAGATATAGGGCAGTGCATAGATCAGGGAGGGTAAAAGGTAATTCACCAACTTAGGAAACACAGGTTCCTGGTAGCTGAAAAGATAAGGTACTATTGCCAAACTTAAAGGGAAACTCCATCTGCTTCTCAAACGTGGCCTTTCCAGTGGAAATGGGAGCAGCTAGAAAACAGTGCATTTTGGGGTTTTTTTCCTTAGTTGCTTCAGAAATCAGGTTTTTTGTTTTTGTTTTAAACCTGGTAATCCCACCCACATTAAATTTTTCAATGACTAGCTAACTAGCTGACTCATGGACACTGAGTTCTCAAGTGCAACAATGACTTCTGACAACTTGGCTACAGAAATCATGAACTTTGAATTACAAAAACAGATGAATGAATTCCAGTAAACATTTTTTAAGCTAGCAGAAGAATATATAAAATAAAACTGGATAATTAGAAAAAGCTAAGACTGTGAGGGATCACAGCGTTTAAATTTCATGCTAGTCTTCTACATATCAATGAAACTCTTACCAAATTTGATCCTTCTAGTAACTAAAATTAACCTCTCTCAAAAAGCTTCAAGGGTAAGAAGATAGCCACTCTTTCTGTAATTTTTAATGTGGTGTTAAAATGCTGCAATTAAGGTTTTAACAAGTTTGGAATTACATGCGTCAAAGGTCTACATGACAGCTCCTAAAAAAGACTAAAATTCCTAATGAGGCCATGACCAAACAAACTGCTACAGAGCAGTGCAGCAGTCACTGACTCTCATCTCAACTACTAAAGCAGCCTCCTTACACTCTAGGTAGAGGGTGTTGGTTGCTGTCACTTACACATCAAAAACTACACACCTTCCTTTTTTACTTGAGAAGTTACTGGGAACCCTCAAGATTCCCTTTTGTTAAAAGTCTGACTTAGGATAGTCAAAGTAAAAGCTAGATTTCACATTTTACCATTCTCTCTCCAGTGTTCCCAAATTCCCTGATGGAGATGGCCTCTACTCCCTACTCCCCCGCCCCAACTAAAAGGCCTTCTGGTTTTCAGTCTCAGTTTCAAAACTAACTCTGGCAGAGCTCTGCCATAAGTACTCAAAAGTAACTAACACCTTAGAAAGGGGCATTAGTGATGGGGGGGGGCATGCAGCTTTAAACTGTCAAGCTGACACATCAAATTCAAATGCTTAAAAACAACCACCAAAACAAAAACCTTGACCAAGTCTCCTTATACCTCTACTTCAAAACTTTGTGTTGATTTTACAACACAAGCCTTTTTGAAAATAAAGGCTTCATGTGAAAAACAAACAAACAAACAAAAAACCCCACAAAAACCCTCCCAACACTGTATCCTAAGCTATTTGGGCCAAGCAATGGTAGCAAGTATTTAAAAAGAGAATTTCCATACCTGTCTTCGTCACCATCAACAGGAATAGCTATGCTGAACACAGAGGTGGCCAGGCTGCTCATAGGTGTAAGCTGGAGGGGGTTCGCCAGGGCGTCTGCAACTGGAGGCTTCCCAATGGGCTTACTGTCAGCAATGAGAGAAAGTGGCGCTTGAGGTAGGGGTTCTGATTTTCTTCTAGTATCATCAACCTGCCCGGCTAGAGGCTGGGTCTGAGTCTGAAACTGGCTCAGGTCAGACTGCGGGAGACTCGTCGGCGCACTGTGCGTGCCTTGCGCCGAGGGCGGCCCGACGGGCTGGATGACGCCGCCGCTCCGGCTGACTGGCGTATGGCTGCTCAGCGGCTGAGGCTGGCCCAGGGGCGCGGGGACGTTCGGCACGGCAACGGAGGCGGTGGGCACACTAGGCACGCTTGGCGCGGGTACGGCTGCAGGCACGTTGGGAACTGCGGGCACCACGGCGTGGGGACCACCGGGCACGGCTGACAGCTGGCCGCTGCCGCCCATCTGCGGCGGGGGCACGGCCTGGGGCTGCCCGGCCCCGGAGAGCCCCGAGCCCGGCTGCACCACGCCTCCTAGAGCAGCCGGGGCCACTCCCGCGGGTTGACAGGGGGCGGCCTGGACGCCAGGCACAGGACCCGGGGCCACGGCGTCGCCGGGCTGGGCAGGGGCGCCCATCATCTGCGCACCCAGCGACGGGACGCTCAGGCCCGGGCCCAGGGCGAAGGCGGCGGGGGGCTGCGCAGGGCTCGGCGGCTGCAGGGCGGCGTGCGGCTGCAGGAAGTCGGGCTGGCCGGGCGGCAGGGGCCCCGGCGCTCTCTGCGGCTGGGGAAACGCCAACTGCGGGGGATGCTGCGGGAAGGGGGCGCCGCCCGCCGGGCCGGGCTGCGCCAGGGTCACGTTCGTGGCTGCCAGGGCCTGGCCCGCTGGGCCCGGGAGGGCGCCTGCCGTCGGGGGCTGCGGCGCGGTCGGGGCTCCCGGGAACGGCGGAGCCACAGCCCCAGCTCCGGGCGGCGGGGCGGCGGCGGGCTGGCCCGTTTTCTCCGACGGGGGGAGCTGCGACACGGCGGCGGCCAGGGAGCTGCCGGGCCCCGAGTCCAGCCCGTGCGCCCCCTGCACGGAGGCCACCAGCACCACCACCGAGCCCCCGGTGGCGCCCAGGCCGCTGTCGCGCTCGGCCGCCGGCTCCAGGTTGCTGCTGCTGTGCCGGATGCAGTCCCCGGAGCGCGTGAGGACGCTGCTGTCCGAGTCCCGCTCGTAGTACTCCATACACGTCCAGCGGCCGCGCCGGTACGGCTCGCCGCTGCCCTGGTCGAGCTTGATGACGCGGAATCGGGAGCTACACGCGGCGGGGGGCTGCGATGGAGTCGCGCTCCCGGGGCCCGGGGCGGGAGGGGCGGCCGCCGTCCCCGCCGCCGTCTGGGCGAGCGCCGCCGCCACGCTCCGGGCCGCCACGCCGCCGCCTGCTGCTGCTGCTCCTCCCGCGGCTCCTCCTCCGTTGGCGGGCGCAGCCGGGGCGGCCGCCAGCTGCCCGTCCAGGATGGCGAGGTTGGGCGACACGGTCCCGGGGGTTTCCGCGTCCCCGACGTTGTTGAGCGTCTCTTCCGACGAGCTGCGCTCGCACGCCTCCTCGGGGCCGTAATCCGTGGCCCGGGACACGTCGAAGATCTCGGAGGACACGTCCTCCGTGCGCGACTCGTCCGGGTCGTCCAGGCTCTCCGTGTCCTCGGTGATGCTCGTGGCCACCTGGGCCGTGGTGACGCTGGTGATCTGGAAGCAGCTCTTCTTCTTGGCCGGCATCTTGGACATGGTGGAGCCGGGCCCGGGGGGGTGGGGAGGCTCACGGGCCGCCCCCCCGAGGTCTCCCCCCACACCGGAAACCGGGGAAGGGCCCCCGGAGACAAAGTCCGAGTTCGCGCCGCTGCAAGTCACGGGCGGCCCTGGGCGCCGGCCGCTCGGCGCCACATCGTCCTCCCCGCTCGCTGCTGCTTCCGCACCTCCCGCCTCAGGTCCGGCCGGCAGCGGCCGCGGGAGCCGGGGAGCGGGCGTGCTCGCCGGGCTCAGCCGCCGCGGTCAGTCCAGCCCGGCGCTCGGCGCGGTCAGCAGGCCCGGCTGGGGGTGGAGCGCGGGGCGCAGGCGGCGCAGGAGGCGGCGGCGGCGGCGTGAGGGGCGGTTCTGTCCCGCTCGGGAGCCTCCGGCCGGGGCCCGCGGCGAGTCCCGCGCGCCGACGCGGAGGAAGGAGGCGGAGCGGCGAGGCCGGGACGGGCGCTTCCCGACGGGGCTGGGGGTGCCGGGAGGAGGCAGCCCTCCGTCCCCCGCTCTAGCCGGAGCGCAGCCCGGGGGCCATGCCGGCGGCGGAAGCCCGCTCGGGGGCGGGGAAGAAGGCCGTCCGGCCGGCCGGCCTCCCTCAGGGGAGCCACCCGCGGCGGGGCCCGGCCTCCTCGCAGCTCGGGCGTGCGAGGGGCGGCGGTGGCGGCGCCTGAGGGGAAGGAACGGCGGGCGGAGGCGCTGCGCGGCGTGAGGGGGACCGGCGGCGGCGTCTTCCGCTTGTGCCCGTCAAGCCCGGCGGAGACGCGGAGATTCAAACTGCTGAAGCAGCAGCAGCAGCAGCAGCGGCGGCGGCGGGAGCGGCTGCAGCTCCCTCCCCTCGCTCGGCCAAGATGGGGCTGGAACGGCCGCGCCAGGGATGCTGGGAGTGAGCGAGTGCGAGCCGGAGCAGGAGCAGCAGCAGGAGCAGCCGCCGCAGCCCAGCAGCAGCTGCCGCCGCCGCAGACTAAAATGCCGCCGCTGCCGCAGCCGCCGCCAGCGCCGCAGCCGCCGCGCCGTCGTGCCGTGACGCGCCGGCGTCGTGACGTCACCGCGGCCCCGCCCCGCCCGCTCCGGGTTCCTGCAGTTTCGCGTGGAGGCTTGAGAGAGGGCGCGGGGGGGTGGGGCGGGGGCGGGGTCCGTGGGCGGGGCCAAGGGTTAGAGAAAGGGGAGCGGGCTCTCTCTCTTTTTTTTTCTTTTTTTTAAAAAGATCATTTTTTTTTCTTTTTCAAATTTGAATCTCTCGCGGCAGACTCGGGAGGCGTCGCGGGGCCGAAGGGCGGGTCTTCAAGGGCGGGCCTGGAGGAGGCTCGCCCCGGCCCGGGACTCGGGCGGGTGTGGAGGGCGTGGCTGGCCCGGAGGTCGTGGGCTGTGTGCGGACGCTCAGCGCGGTCTCAATGGAAGCGGGGCGGGGGAGGGGGTGGGGGGGAGCTAGGGCGAGCCAGCGTCCGCCGGGAGAGGGGTGTGAGCGTGTGTGTGAGGGACCGGAGGGAGCGCGTCACGCCGAAAGCCTTGGGAGTGCGCGTGTGCGTGCGCGTGCGTGCGCGTGCGCGGGCCGCCACCGCAGGCCGAAGCCGACGGCTCACGCAGCGCCGCCAGGCAGACGGAATCGGAAAGATGATCTCGCAGGCGGAAATTCCGCTCTTCAGCCGGGGCCTCGGGGGGTGGGGCCTCGCCCAGGAGCGGGCGGGCGGAGTCGGCTTTTGCGGGAGCCCAGGGCTCCCCGGGTTTGCCGTGGCCCCGCGCCACCCGGGCTGGCGGGAGTTCGTTTAAACTTTCCGAGACGCTGAACGTGGAGTCAGCTGGCGGGAGCCCGGCGCGCCGCACGCGAGCAGCTCTGCCGACCGTTCGGGCCGCTGCTGGGTTTGCTTCGGGACCACGCACAGCCGAGCGAGTGAGCGAGCGAGCGAGCGCCCACCCCTTCCTGTACTGAATCAGACAGCAGCTCTCAAAGTGCCGCGGCGTTTACCGTCTTGTGGCTACATGACAACCAAAATCATGAGGCCTTCATCTTTATTTTTATTTTATTTCAGTATTTATTTTTTATTTGAGACCTGGGTAGCCCGGCTCCCTGCTTAAACCAAAGCGGCCTTGAACTTGTTGTGTTGAACCAGAGGCCTGGAAGCAGAGCTTCTTCCTGCCTCTGCCTCCCAAGTACTGGGCACGCGCGCGCTACTTCCTTGGGAGGGCAAGGATGTTATTTTTAAACACTGGCCACTCTTGAACTCTTGACACATGAAAACAACCCTCATGTAGCTAAGATCTGAGAAGTTTTGCTGGAAATCAAGATGCCAGATTTACTGCAGCTTTTAGAGATCATATCAGGGTGACATACTTAAATTAGTTTACTCCGTTCTCCGATTTTTAAAGAACATGAGTATTCTCTTATCCAAAAAATAGGTTGAAAATTAAAATTTGCATAGAATTTTTTAGGTACTTGCTGTAGTTTATGGCGATAGGCCCTTAATTTTATTTTTTGGTTTTTGGAGACAGGCTTTGGTTTCTCTGTATTGTTTTGGAGGCTATCCTGGAACTCTCTCTGTAGACCAGGCTGACCCGGAACTCACAGAGATCCACCTGCTTCTGCCTCCCGAGTGCTGGGATTAAAGGCGTGCGCCACCAACACCCAGCTGGCGATAGACCTTTTAAACCCAGTAGAAACTGTCCTTTAAACCCAAGTGACAGAGGTCAGTATAACCTCTTAATAACATCCCGTTTCTTGAGGGTGCAGAAGAGTAAAACATGCTGGTATTGTGGCAAAGATAGCTGATGGAATGTTTCTAAATCTGTAATTTCAGTAATTTCTCAAGATAGTTTCTATCCATAAGTCAAATAACTGACTTGTTAAACCCAATGAGAATTTATAATAGCTTCTCTCTCTCTGTTTCTCTCTCCTTCCCTCTCTCCCCCTCCCTCTCCCTCTCCCCTCTCCCTCTCTCTCCCTCTCTCTTTCTCCTTGAGACAAGGCTAACTCTGTAACAGCCCTAGTTATCCTGGAACTAACTCTGTAGACCAGGCTGGCCTCGAACTCACAGAGATCTGCCTGCTTCTGCCTCCCGAGTGCTGGGATCAAAGGCGTGCGCCACCACTGCCCAGCTATAATAGCTTATTTTAATTTTAATGTTAAAATTGTTTATCAGTGGATATTATTGGCTTTTGGAAAAATAAAAAGCCTATGCATGATCATGGCATTACATTATCTTATTATATAAACTTACTGATGTTTAGTTATTATATTCTTTAGCCACACATTTAAAGAGGAAAAGGTAATCTGTAAACACTCCTTCCTAAAGAACAGGTAAAAGGATTTCCTATGAAATGAAAGTAAAGATAAAACTAATACGGGTTTTGATCCTAGCAATTAGGAGGCAGAGGCAGGTGGATCTCTGAGTTTGAGATCAACCTGGTCTGTAGAGCAAATTCCAGGACAGCGAGGGCTGTTACACAGAGTAACTCTGTCTGGGGGAAAAACAACAAAACTAATGTGAAGAAATGAGAACATTTCTGGTACAAAAAGAGTAGAAGATGTTTTAACAAAATTAGGATTCTTTTGTTTTGCTTTAATCATGGTTACATCTTTGTGTAGTCCTGGCAGTCTTGGAACTCAGTCTGTAGACCAGGCTGGCCTCTCACTCACAGAGATTTGCCTTTGGAGTGCTGGGATTAAAGGCTTGCACCAACTCGCCTGGCTACATTTTAGGATTTTTTTTTTTTTTTTGGATTTTACGAGGCAGGGTTTCTCTTATACATTTTAGGATTTTAAAGTTAAAATATTTTATTTAAATGTTTCACAAAGTGTGTGTGTGTGTGTGTGTGTGTGTGTAAGTGTGAATTTAATGGTTTTGTGAAAATAGCATTTTCCAGAAATTTAAAGACCCTACTTTTGTGTATTTTCCTTTAAAAATTATAGAACTCATGAGGCTGAGGCAGGTGAATCGTTTGAGCTCAGGAGTTTCAGGCCAGTCTCCTCGCTGCCTCATCAAGACCCTGTCTTTTAACAAACAAGCAGTCCCTGGGGAGGGGGAGAGGGAGAATTTACTACTTCAAGCTGTTAGGAAGAAATGAAGAAATTCAAGTTTGTACCTTTGCTAGTGTGTAGAAAGTTGTTAATAACTAACGTAGCAGCCCTAGCTCATTGGAATTAGAGAGGTCCCAGGAGAGCCACACTTAGAGGCTTTCATGCATTAGTTGTCCTGGCTCGGTGCCCGTACCCACAGACCATGCAGTGGAGGTCGTGGGCACTCTTGATCACTGCTCTCCTAGCCCCCAGCTTGACCATCTGCCTTACATCTGGGACTTCCCCCACAGACTTCAGTTTTCAGCAGTATATGGGAAGTACATTTAGAAAGAACAGTGTAGGGGAAAAACAACCCTAAAAGCTAAGGAAGGCCCCGTTCCACTGATGGAGAAAACTGCTTCAGCAGGAGCTTTTCATCGTTTGCAAGCAGCACACTTCTGCTGGGCCATTGTCTGTAGATGAGTGCAGTGATGAATCATTTCACAATCGTCAGATGGTAGAATGTGAGCAACAGGTTCTCAAGAAAATCTGACATCTCCATCCCCCAGTGAATAACAGCGCATTCAAGGCTGAAAAAAGTACTGTAGCAGAAATTAGGCAACTGTGTAGCTGAGGAAAACAACTGTTTAGTAGGCATACCTAAAGCAGTGACACCTATTGCACATCGGATAGCCTGCATCCTAGCCATGAAGTTATTCTGGGATCAGAATATTATATTTGCTTTCTGTTTTTAATCACCAAACTATTAGAAAAATACAAAATGAAGGAGTGTTTTTCAGCTTTTTGAAAGGAACCCATCAGAAATAAAGAGTTGTTTAGGCAAGTAGTCATTGGTTTATTATTAGGCTTTCCTGGTGCTGCATTTCTGAGCACTATCACATTAACAAATGCTCCCTGGCAAACTTTGTAAAGGAAAACTCAATCTTACTGAAGGGTACACATTCTTAAAGTTACTGTTATACATGCCTAGTATTTGATACACTGAAATCAAATGATCTCTATTCATTTTGTGATGGTGAAAAGCTTCTGAAAACCTCCAAATATCTTGGAAGTTAAGGTAAAATGTAGCAGTTTGTGTTTTGAAGTAATAAATGTAATGTTCTCGTCATAGCTTGCTTTATTTCAGTACTGAATTTAACGGGTGATCTTAGTGAGCCAAAATGTTAGTTCTGTGGCTCTACCATTTAGCTTACATGCTCCAAATGCAGTAGCTTGAGGAGAAAGAGCTATTAATGACTGTATTACTTTATCCTTCCATGTTAT